TGCAGATTAATAAAACTATCCAATGACAGATGCCAATGAAACAACATCATGACTTCAAGGAATTTACAACAGTAGTTTACACTAATAGATTTTTATTGCTAAAACCAGGAGTCCTCGTGAAGTAAAATTTGTGTCTGAAGCAACACATCCCTCCTCAAGGCCAAGAACTGTCACCTGCAGTGAAAAGCTTCTCTCTGATTGCATGATAAATGGACAAGCAAAACCCCCGAGAGAACGGCAGACAAAAAAAGAAATTGGTTTCTCAAACTGAGAAATACAAGATATATGCAGCGAACTAAAAATTATTAAAGAAAGGTATTAAAGAATGCGTCTAAGTAACAAACTGACGATACAATCAAAAACAGATTTGGCTAAAAGTTTCATGAAGTTAAAAATATATATTTGTTGAATAAGTTATTTTCTACAAATACAAATTTGATAGAAATGTCCAAATGTTTTGATGCAGTCAGTCTCGCCTGCAGGCTGAAGTTTCTAGTTTTAATTGACTGTGGCACTTTTAAAGTGCTAATTCAGGTTTTAATATGTTAATGCATACTACCGTATTACAGTTTTAACCAAAGCTTACAACTTTAGCAATTGCTCATCCAGAATGCAGGAAAAACATAGCCAAGCCAAACCCATAAAATGACATTCATTTTTTGTCAACAAAATATCATTATTGATTAAATGAAGGTGATATATGCATTTTCAGATGACAGAAAACAAGCAGTATTTCATATTCATTATAAAAAAAAATATACTACAATGAAACCTTTTACAGCTATTTTGTCATGTATACTGCATTGCACATTTAACTTGTGTGTCAGTTACTAAGAAGGGCTGTGTGTACTGATGATCCCTGAATCATGTGCCTGATATTGATTATTGTCCGCACACTCTGGATCTCTTTAGACCGTTTAATTTGATCTGACTGATGTGGGTTTGAAGAGCATGCATGCACTGAAAGCTCATTTTGTAATTAAGCGCGTAAACAGCTTCTAGGCTGTATGATGAGTGTAAAGCTAATTTTTACATATTTTTTGTGATATATTTATATTTAAAGACCGTTTCAGTGACTCTCATAGTGGCCATTATACGATATGTTAAAACTATTAAAAATATAATATCTTCATTTTTATATAAAAGACTTTCCTTGAGGACCTGGTTGTCTGTAATGCACTTAGGTTAAACATTTTATCGATTGTTTTACTGAATGATAATAAAGCTCTTTTACAGACCTGTGGATTTTCACTGACCACACAGTGGACAGTTAAAACTGCGCTCAGAACCGAGCAGCATCCCAGCATCTTCATTTTCACATGAGGAACCAGTTAACTGATTTGACCTCATTACAAGTCAGGGCGATATTAAATCTCTCTCTCGCTCAATCTCTCTCAGAGTCCATGTGTTTAAAAAAAAGCCAAACAGATGTGCAGAAACCTTTGCATCACTGTGCTGTCCTTGTGAGTGTGCTCGTATTGCCCTTTGCAGCTTAAATTTGTTCATAATGCCAGCACAAAAGCAACATGACCACAAAAACCCCTCAACAACCAGCCTGAGTGATCTTAATCATTTCCATTCGTTGTTATTTTTTTAGTTTATTTTAGTTTTTTCATTCTGACACAGACTCATGTGTCAGTGATGTGATGTGATCACACAGTGATGGGAGATTTATAACACATGCGAAACATTTAGCAATACTTTGAAGAGCCACAGAAACTAACTACAAAACCAGTTTTACAGTTTTCATACCTCGAGACGTCAGTGTGTTTTTCTACTTAATATGTTTTAGATATTAGTGTCAAATTCATTGTTTAAACACACCAACATTTTCAGTTTGCTAAAAAAAAAAAAAAAAATCAAGGGTGCCAATTTGGATTTAGCTCCAAAGAGATTTCCTCTCTCTCGTTGTCGGGTGGTCAAATCCAACTCTGACCAGCTGGGATGGAGGGATAATCTGTGTGTAAAAAAAAGAAAAAAAGGTGGGGGGTGGTTCACTTGTTTTAATTACACACTCGCAGACACACAAACACACACACAGTCTTCCTCTCTCTCTTCCTGTCTTTCGCACTCTTACACACTTGCGTGCACACATGCATTAACACGTCCGCCATACACACGCTTATACTCTTCGACCGTGGTAACAGACAGATGCTCGCTTTAAACTGAATTTGGGTTTTTATGCGTGAAGGGCCGGAAAAAAATGTGACGTGACTGGATGTGACTTGGTAATTGATCTGATTTTTTTTAAGCGTTGGGACATGTGGCGGAGATTAAAGCTTCATCACGGAGAGAAACTAAAATATTTTTTAAAAGATTAAAAAGGCACTATGTGTAATTACAAAATGCACAGCCACAGTAAGAATAAATAAATAAAAAAGAAGCGACGACAACGTAATGCTTTAGAAACACTGACTGCATATGATGTGAACACCTAATACAAGGGACATATGATGAATATGGCACCAGTATATTCATACATACATATATATAACAATAAATTTTAAAAAGGTCATGACTCATGTTGTGTCTCATCATCGTCATCGTCAGTCTTTAAGGTCAATCTTGGTTCTCCACTCTTGGAGTACAAACATTTACACTTCAGCTGTTTTTAATGAATCTCTGACTTCTTGGTTTTGTGGTTTTTATGGAAGCCTGTCTCTGCCAAAAAAAAAAGAAAAGAAAAATGAAAAAAGCGATAAAAATTGAAAGAAAAACATTAAAAATAAAACATTATGTTGGAAAAATTGATACACTGTGAGCAAAAAATTGAGAAGAATATGAGCTTAAAGCTTTTTAAAGTTATGGGAAAAGTTATGTCACTTCAAAAGATCTTAAATAGGTGGTCGACACTTTTGTCCTGGCATGAACCTTCTAAAGTCTGAAGTTTCTAAAGTTTTGCAGTGGTTAACTACATCCAATCCAAATCCCCCCCCCCCCTCCAAAATGGGACAGTGCAGTAAAATGTAAGTAAAACAGAATACATTGATTTCCAAATCTTATAAGCCCATATTTTATTCACAGTAGAACACAGAAAATATGAATGTTTACATAAGAAAATGCACCATTTTAAGAAAAAAAAAAAGGTTATTTGGAAGTGAAAGGCTCAACAAAAGTCTGGACAGGACCATGTTTAGTACTGTGTAACATCCACTCTTTTAACAACAGTCTGTAAAGATCTGAGACCTGAAGAGAGCAACTGCTGGGCTTGTGGGAGAGAAACGTTTCCCACTCTTGTCCTCAGTTTTGTCATAGCATTTGTTTCATGATGCTCCAAATGTTGTTCATTTGTGTAAAGAACCGGACTCTTCTACTACAAAGCTATGCTGTTGTAATAGATGCAGTATCCAGTTTAGCATCGTCTTGCTGAAATATGCAAAGCCTTCAACGAAGAAGATGTGGTCTGCGTGGTTGCTCTAAAACCTGTATACACCTTTCAGCATTGACGGTGCATTTCCAGATGCGCAAGCTGCCTAAACACATCTACACCATCAGAGATGGAGTCGTTTAAACTGAGTATAAGCTGGATGGCCCCTCTCCTCTTTAGTCTGGAGGACCAAAAAGAAGTAAAATCTCTGATTTTTCTGACCACTTTGGCAAATTTCATTTTAAATGACACACAATCAGATTTGTATCATGTGTCATTTGTAAACACAGTGTTTTACAGACCGGTGAACTTCTGCCCATCTTTATATGTGAGATGCTCTTTTTATACCCAATCATGTTACTGACATGCTGCCAACTGCAGATGTATTTGTAATACTAATTATTTTCCCAGCCTTTTTGTTGCCCCCATCCCATCGTTTTTAAAACTTGTTGCTGCCTTCAAATTGAAATTGAGCTAATATTTTTCATGAAACAGTTTAAATATCTGTTCCAACTTCTCTGGAATTAAAATTGTATATACTGCTTTTGGTATTTTCATGTTAAGCCTCAAATACTTTAAATATGGGTAATTTTCTTTTTAAATTACTTTCTTTCTTTCTAAAAGAAAATAGATCTAATTGTTCTATATGTGAAGTTGATTTTAAAGCCTTCTTTAATGATCCTACAGACTTTGGGTACCTTAAAAAACTAAACAAAATAAAATTTATGGACTCAATCAGTCAGGTTTTTTGATAAAGATCCTCTTACCTGAAATCTGTTCACAGTGAGTTAGATTTTCTTACTTGATGAAATACACTAAAATACACTGCAACACGTGTATTTTAGTAGTTTATCACCCAGTTTTATTGATATTGGAATACAAAGTTATAGCTAGCTTGCATGTTGTTGTAACTTTTTAGTCCTGGACCGAGTGGCTGTGGGTGACAGCAAAGTAAAAACCAAGGCTGGCTTTACTGAAAGGACTGAGAGACACATAAAGAACACAAACAAACAAAAGAAAACAAAAACAGAAAAGAGCGGAAATAGCCTTTTTAGGTACTGCGTCTGTCAGTCACCACATGTGCTGCAGGGTATTTACTTAGTCATGTTGGTTTATACTGCCCAGATGGCCTGATGAGGCACTATCTAATTACTTCTCCCATGGATCCTCTGCCTCTGATAAATACTTACTGAGCCATGACTGTTTCATATCCTTCACTGCCACCACCAGGGGGTTCATGCAACTACACATGAGTCTGAAGGATGAGCAGATTTAGTTTGGAAAGGAGACAAGGCCCATCAACATGCAGTATTAATGAAAAACTAGAGAACATGTGATAAAGGTTTGGTGATTTACTATGGCCTTCTGATCGCTTCTGCTTATCTTCTCGTCCTCCTCTTTATAATTTTTTTTTGTTCATCCAAATGTTATGATATTAATCATTTTCATACTACTGTCATTTAGGCTATAAACTACCACTAAAGACGTATAACAGAGAGGGTTTTAATATTACTCATTTACAGCTTGAATAAACTGGCAGAAACGTCTCTGACTGCGTGTAATTGCTGTTATTGAGCTGTTTGCAGCAGACAGTAGAGGGCGGTAGAGCTGTCAACCCAACATATGCACCACGAAGAAGAGTCCGGAAGTTACTCTGCTGTGTTTGTCCGCCTACTGGAAACGGTGAGGTGTGTTGAAGCGAGTGCTTGTTGTCAGCGTTACCCCAGCGGGAAGATTATTTTATGAGGGAGCCTTCCTCAGTGTCAGCTGAACAGCTGTAGCTCTTCAGGATAACAACATGGGTAAAAGTTAATTTTCTTTATCGGTTGTCTTTGTTTGTCTTGATGTCGTTAGCTTTTCCGCTAAACTTCCTCTCTTTGACTCATTTTCGACAGCTTGTGAAAAAAAAAGTCGAAGAAGTTATACTGCACTTTGAAAAATATTCAGTAAATTTCCTGCCGATAAATCACAGACGATGAAAGTTTTTTGGTTTGTTTTTGCTCGGCAGTGCCCCTTCAGTCTTATTTTGTTCACATGAAAGATAACACATAAGAGAGATCCTAATTACACAGAAAGGTAGTAGTGTCATACACAGATAAGAAATTAAAGGGTGGACCAATCCTAAGCACGCATTCATATCACACATCACTAAGATAACACAAGCTAGAAGCTCGAGGTGGGACTTACCGGACACCCCACAATACAGTATTACCGATACTTAATTTACAAAACAATATTATTGTGATTTTTGCAATATGCTGGGTATTGCAATGACATATATTGTCACTTATCATCTTTTTTCAACTGCCAGTTATGTTCTTAAAGTTAAACTTTGTCATTATTTGTTTTGTCCAATGAGAAAAAATTATTTCACTTCATTTTTTTTTTATGACAATAAGATTGTCAAGTGTACCAATACTGTCACTAAAACCTGAAACAATTCCATGCAATTAAGTTTCTGATAATACAGCTATTAACTGTGATAAATTGTGGGGAAATCACAGCTGTTGCTTACTGTATAGACGGAAATTTACATTTAAGTGTTTCCTTTGCGATCAGCAACCGTCCTGCTCTGTAGGAATATAACCAGAATACAATCAGCGGACAGCCAGTGGACTCGGGTTCCCTTGAGTTGTGCTCACTGACAAAGGCTCATTATGACTAATAGCAGCATGTTGGCAATCTGACACTTATTATTTAGAAACCTTCAATAATCTCTCTGAGTGATTGCTGTCAGTCCAAATCAGACTGCAACTGTTTGCAGATTGGACGCAACCTATCAGAACTGTGCAATCGCCTTGCGATCAAATGCTGTCATGAGTGTGCCACACCTTAAAGCTCTGAACAAGCATTTAGTCACCATGAGTTGCAATTATTTGCAGAATGTGAAAAAATTCAGTATAATCAGCAGGCAGGCAGAGATGGAGGATGGTATCCTATTTGCACATTTGTGACTGAGCTTGCTCTAAATTAGGAGGTAGCTTTCTTAAGCTAGACGTGTCCAATATTGGATGTTTTTTTTAATGGTTGAGCCGATTTCATGTAAGTTTGCTCAGCTAATATCTCAAGATAGTGGTGCATAAGATTAGCTCACATGTTCATAGTACTCTCAGCGTATGTACTGGCACGCAAAAATATTGTGATACTTTGGTGTTTTCATTTTTTTTCGCCCCACAACTAATGGAAGCCTATTAAAATCTTTGTCACGTGTGGCTTCATTGACTTCTACCTGACACCATATTTTCTTCTTTTAAGAAGAACAAACAACCTAAAGAAAACTGAGTTTTTATGTACCGACACCTGTGTTTTTATAAATAGTTTTCTCATTCCAACTGTTCAAAGTGTGAAGAATATTGATGCTGTAGGAGTCTCTACAGATTCATTGAAAGGATCAATGTACTGTTCTAGCACGTACAGAGGGGCCCTTGCCTCCATCATCGCTGAGGCTCTTGGTTCCACCACTGCGGGTGATGTCGGCTGTGATGTGGAAGGTGGTTCATCTGAAAATCGTCAAGCAATATGGGAAAGTGGAGGAATTTGTGTCCTTGGTATCTGAAGCCATTCCCGACATCTTAACAAGCCATCAGGTGACACTGCTCACTGTGGGGTTGAGGGCAAAGGTAAGGAAACATACTGTGGATTCATTCTCCACATGTATTAGTCACATTTCTATCATGTTAAAATTTCTTAGGTATTTGCATATTTGTCTGACTGTGGAATTTCTCATTTTACAAACTTGCAAGGATCATGTTGGCTCATGCAGTTGTTAATCTAACAACAAAATAAAAGCATTGCATTGATCACAAACTCCAAGACTTTACTTTGTCTTGAAGATGATATGAGTAACAAATATACATAATACTTTTTCTTAAATCTTTAGTGTCACATTTGTAGATACAGAGGTGTTACGACCCGTCTAGGGCCAGGCAGTAACATGAGTGAGGCACTCGCTCAAGACCAAGACCCAAGCAGCCAGAGGAAACAAATCCGTTCGTTATAATGTGATTTATTTACAAAGTGGAAAAAAAGGAACAACAAAACGGGAGTGTCAACACTTCAGGGTGAGCCAAGGCCAAAATAATAAACAAAAACAAATCTACACAAATCCTGCACCCCTGACCTTCCTAAAACAAAGTCCAAAAATAAAGACAGAGTCTGAGCTCCTTAACTAATTCAAAACAGGAGAAAACGGGTGATCAAAAGAAACGGCAGCTCATCCCTACCCACTCCACTTCCACAACTTTTAAGCCGCACTGCAGCCAGCAGCTGCCACAGGTACACTGCTGGGTCATGAGGAGAAACGTGAGGACCTCTCCCGCCATAGCACTCCAGGCTCCTTTTAATGGGCGGGTCCTCCAGCTGGAACCAGTCACGTCGGGGCGGTGTATCCACACACCAATCGGAGCAGGGCTCTGGCACAGCTGAATTAACATAAAAAGATACATCACCTGCACAAAACAAACACATGAACATGCAAGTTCGTAACAAGAGGTAGTTAAAGGCAAGTCTTTCTGTAAGTAGAACAGAAAGAGGCAGCAGGTAGATTTCACTGTTTACATTTGATCTTTCACTGTTTGTCTGTCCTTAATGTCTCTTCCAGATGATATTGCAAATGTTAAACTCTGAGGATCTCGGAGGCATTAAAACACACTTGGGTTGCCTGCTGCAAACTCGCTCACGACAGGTGTGTAGTGCTTAACGTTCCTGGATGTTGGTTATTGGCTGATTCAGAAGCTCTGCTTGACTTTAACTGTTTATTTAACTCTGCAGGTCTATCCAGAAGGTAACCCTCTTGAAGCCAACATTGTCACATTTGTTCAGAGACTCCTGGACGACTCAGAAGGGAGAGAACACTTCCTCAAAGTGTGTCTCTGCTTTTGTCTTACAGTTAGTCTAAATATAAATAGGTGAGGGTGTTTAATAATAACTTTTCGCCTGATAGAATGTGTTTCCTGTGGCGTATGGGCCCGACTTTGACACAGCACTGGAAAAGCTTCTCTGTGACTTCTTCTCCAAACTGGAAGAGCTGCTGCCAGTACCAGACTTTAAACAGGTAGAGGTCCACAGTCTTTACCTGTAAGAAATGACTATTTTTAGGGCGTTTTCACAGATTAGCAGTCTAAGGCCTGTGCATTAAAATCATATTATTTATCTGATAAAGGCTGCTTTGTGGATCAGTGATACACCAGCTGAGGTAGAGGAGTACATGCACTGTGTAACTGAAGCTGATGACATCAAAGTATTGCTCAGAACCAGGCCTCGCAATAGTGAAATGGCCAAGATAGATTCGAGTGGTGAGTCTGTCTGCCTTTCTTTTCTCATTCACATGCCCCCGCAACCATAGTCAGACTAATGATGCTTAAGCCGGGGGTCTTTCCTGTTTAAAAGGGTTCTTCCTCCTCAGCATCTCCAAGTGTTTGCACACAGAGAGTGATCTGATCATTAGGATTCTCTTCACTCTGTAGGCTCTTTACCTGACAGTCTGTAATAGGTTCATAATGTGTGCTACATACAGTATAAGATGCCTTGAAATGACTGCTGTTGCTGAACTGAGGCTCTATAAATAAAATTTAAGTGTATATGTGCACTTAATCAGAGTTATGTATTTGTCAGATGCAGTATTTCTGTTGTAGGTCCTGTGATTGACATTGGGAGCTGTGTTTTGGATTTCTATAGCCAAATACCTTCATTTAATTGAAAAAGATAAAAATGCATTGGTATTGGATGCAGTTATTTTTATTGACCCTTTTCTTTTTGAATTCCTAATTCCTCTTTCAAACAGTGCCATCTCCCTCAGAGCAGCGGCTTTTCTCCTCGTTGTCGCTCCCCGTCTCCCTGATAGACAACAGCGCCAAAGATGCTGATCAATTGCTAAGCTCAAATGCACCAACTTTCGAAAACCAAAGAGTGTCTGAAGCAGCTGCCTTTCAAGAGCCCAGAGATGGTGACATGTGGGATACAAGATGGCCACATGAGGAAGAGTCTCACAGCGCAGAACAAGAGGCGGGAGGAAAAGACACCGACAGCATTCCTGACACACATGTTGTGGAGGAGTGCGGTGACCAAGCTACAACGACTCTCCAAGCTCCCTCTTCATCTGCTGAGAGTCATGTGGTATCCAGCTCTGTGATCGGCCCTCTCAGACAGAGAGTTGCACAGAAATGCACTCAGTGTGGGAAGTGCTTCATTTACAAGTATGAACTCCTGGAGCATCAGCGGCTGCACACCGGAGAAAACCCTTACAAGTGCTCTCAGTGTGGGAAAGCTTTTCGGCGGAGCTCTGATCTATCAAGTCACAGGCGGACACAGTGCAGAAAAGCAGCGTACATTTGCATCAAATGCGGGAAAAGCTTTCAGTCTATGCAGGAAAAATGTAGACACCAGTGTGTTCATAGCATCCACAAATTTGACTGTCCTTACTGTGGGAAAAGTTTTAAGAAAATGTACCTGCTGGCTAAGCACAAGCTGACTCACAACCAGAACCGCATTTTCACATGCAGACAGTGCGGGGAGGTATACCCGGGTATAAGCGAGCTAAGATCACATCAAAAGATCCATCCTCCTCAGCTGTCCAATCAGTGCCAGCAGTGCGGGAAGTTTTTCAGCTCGGCTGCGTGTTTGACTGCTCACCAGCTGCGCCACACACAGCAGAGGACACAGATTTGCACACGCTGCGGCAAAGCCTTCAAGAGCAAGCATGATCTGAACCTTCACATGCGCAGTCATACAGGCGAGAGGCCCTTTCAGTGCACCTACTGCGAGAAGCGTTTCTCCGTGTCAGGAAACTTGAACGTACACGTAAGGATTCACACAGGAGAGAAACCGTACCTGTGCTCCGACTGTGGCAAGGCTTTCATTTCTGCCGGAGAGCTGCAGATACACAGGCGCACCCACACGGGGGAAAAGCCATACAAGTGCTCGGTGTGCGGGAGAGGATTCACCAGGGCGAGCAAAGTGACGCTCCACATGCGTGTTCACACTGGGGAACGCCCCTACGAGTGCTCTGAATGCGGGAAAGGCTTTTCACGTGGTAGCGAACTGAAAAAACACACAATGAACCATGCAGGAGTCCGGCCCTACGCCTGTCAGCTGTGTGCAAAAACGTACACGTGCCTCAGTCACCTGAAAAGACACTTAAAATCTCACAGTGTAGTCCAGTCTCAGACCCTCTGATTCTACTGACTATCAAATGGTGTTTTGCTATTGATGAGGTCTTTTGCCATTGATGAGGTCTTTGTGCAGTGACACTGTACACACTGTTGCTGACTTCATGCACTGCATCATAGGATTTGGACTTTGTTTTCTTCTTTTCTTTTAGAGACTCCTTCCTTATCCTCCATTTAAAATGTCACTCTCAAGTGCAGCTTCTGGTCCTGACATAGATGTTTTGTTTGTTGTGTTGTTTTTGTTTTATTTGTTTTCTGATATCCTAAAATGTGATTTTGAAATCATCCAAGAAAACTGTGTCCTTCTGCGTTTATTAGTGCCTGTATTATTATTATTATTATTATTTTTCCTTCTATGAGGTAACACTGACTGGAGTAGTATTATTTACTAGTGACACTGTTCAATATTGTAAACACAGAATAAACTAGATAATTGCCACCTATTTGTCCTATTTGTTGCTCTACAACAGCCTGATATTCACTTATGAGGACCTTATACTGTCACTGTTCTATTTAAATTTAAAAAGAACATCTTCATATGTGGATCTTATTTTCCTCTGAAACAAAAATAAGGTAAAACAAACAAACTGGTAATTCTTTGCCATTTGGGCTGATGAATGTAAAAACAAAGAGAAATTAAAAATGCATGTAATGAAAGAGTTTGGGTCTTAGGAGGTTAAACATCCTGCTGTGGGTTTGTTTAATGTGTTTCTGTGTTTAAAATAATAAAGTCACACCGTCGAAACAAATGAAAAATTACGTTTAGTTGAAAGTAAAAAGTTTCTAACTCTTATTCCAAAGCTGAAATGGCAGTAGTTTTTTAATTACTTTGTTTACTGTATTTTTTATTTTTTTAGTTGTTGATTCTTTTTTTTTACACTTTACGTTGTAACGTCTGTTCCGAACTTAAAATATGAGCATAACAACAGTGTACGAACTGTGTAATATAATACAGTTGAGCCAGGTCTTTACGCTACCCTTTATTATTTAGATTTTTCGGAGGCGTGGTGCGTTTACAAAAGTAAATGGGACTCGTTGTGTACGGGCTGCCCCGTAAAACAAAACGAACCTCCCTGATGAACCTACTGGCCCAACGCTCCTCGCGATATGAACAGCGTGCTTCAGGAAGAAGTTGGCGCCTGAAGCCGTATATTCGGTTAGCTACTACACTAGCCGATATTATGAACGAATTAGCTGTTCATGTTGCGTTTTCCTTCCATCGTTGCTAATGAATTCCACAATGAATGATATGGGTAAGTGTTACCTCGTGGAGAGCAACAACATGTTGTATTTTCGCTTGTTATGTGGTTAGCCGACTAGCCAAAGAGAAGGATTACTGGGAGCTGAGGAGGCCTCGACTAATCTCTGGAACAAGAATTGTTTTGCTCCCCGTTAAGCCGGGTTTTGCCCTGTAGCCAGCAAGTTAGCTGATGCTCTAGATATGGAAGAAACAGTGGGGATTGTCCGCGTTTCCAAACATTTTATTTGCATGAAAAGGCTTGCTTCAGTATATCAAATGCGGTTAAAAAAATCGGTCTATTAACAGGCATTTATAACGCGATTCCTTTTAAATAAAGTAACTAGCGTTAAGCTACCACTAGCTGTTTACCCATCTAACCTGCTCATGCCTCCGTAATAAACTCACATCGTCTCTTTGTCTTTGTGGTTAATTTAGTGTAAAACAACTGAATTTTATCCTATTTATGCACACAAACCTGGTGCTTTAGGCTAAGGACGGACTGTAGTACTGTATTTCTGCAGCTCGTGGATGGACAGTAGCGATGGTGAACAGACGGTGCTGACTTAAGTGGTTTTATTGTACAAAAAATAATATCTCCCACTCATTTACCTTCTTCCTATTGACATATTTAAGACACGGTCAACTGTTTACATTAATAACATTTAATCTAGCCTTTGAAACGACGAAGGGGATCTCTGTTCTGCCTCAAAATTAAATATTCTCATGTAAACTCGGGTCCACAGAGGTGTACCAGGTTCTTAATTAACCTGACTGACAGCCTGTTTGACCCAGTCTGTTTTCTCTCCAAAGAATTCAGTGTTCCCCTGTCCTCGCTGGCTCTCCTGGTCCCACCACTCCGCCTTATGTCTGCTGTGATGTGGGAAGTGGTGCGCCAGCGGAACATAAAGCACTATGGGAAACTGGAGGAGTTTGTGTCCATGGTAACAGATGCAGTTCCTGAACTGATGAGTAAGAGGGAAGGGAGGCTGCTCTCACTGGGTCTGAGAGCAAGGGTAAGTGAAATGTCTGGATCGCATGACGTGTGTAAAAGGAGCTATTCAAATGAGACGAGGACGCGAGGCACGTGTTAATATTATAAACTACGCTTCTTCTAGACAACTCTTGAACTGCTGCGTTCTGAACACCCTGAAGATCTCAAGGCGGTTCAGAGCCACCTTAACCGAATCCAATCTTCCTGCATCGAGGAGGTGGGTGAGCCTGTTAGCGTATTTTAATTTGGAATATATAAATGGCTAATTTGTAAAAATCAAAAAATGATGAAAACATAACTGTTTTCAGGATTGTTCAAACAAATTGATTTTTTTAAAGAAGTAATTCAACAGTAATAATGAAAATAATTATTAGCTGTTGACCTATGACCTGTCCTGTGGTTATCTAGACCAATGATCCTGTAATTGAAGCACCAGAGGCAAACTTTATGAAGTTGGTGCAAGGCCTCATTGAAGACACGGATGGCAGAGAACACTTTCTCAAGGTAAAGTTGGGACTGACAATGTTTGAATCACATTTAAAAATGTGATTATAATAACATGTGTAAAAGGACGAGGTTGTATGTTGACAGTACAGATCTTTTTTTTCTTTTTCTTTTTTTCCCATGTGGCAGAATGTGTTTCCTGTGGAGTACGGCCCTGACTTTGATACGGCGCTCGAGACCCTAGTTTGTGAGTTTTTCACAAGACTCGAGGAGCTGCTGCCAATACCAGATTTCAAACAGGTACAGAGAGGATCTTTTCAAGATGATAAAATAAAGGAGCGCTTTTAAATGTGCTTTTTTTGTGCCTGTGTCTCACAGACTGCATCCTGGATTAGTGCTGCCCCTTCAGTCCTAGAGGAGTATATGCAGTGCGTGTCCAACGGAGAGGACCTTAAATTTCTTCTCCAGAGTAAACAGTGCCACGGGAAATTAGCAAAGAGCAGCATTGGTATGCATATACTAGTCAGTGCATCTTCTTTTAGTTCAAGATGTGGGACTATATTAATATTTGTTTCCTGTTTCTTTTCATGCAGCTCCATTTCAGTCAGATGATCTTCTGATCCCCTCGCTGTCTCTCCCTCCATCTCTGGAAGTAGCCATCGCTTCCCACCCGAGTGCTTGTGATGATGAAAATAATGACGTCCCTCAGATTGTCATGTTTGACGAAGAGCTGTCCACAAACCCTTCCACCTCAGCTGACTTTCCCGAATCTCCAAAAAGGGCCGATGTTACTTCGTCTCCACGCAGGAGACAGCAGTCAGGAATCCATAAATGCCCCGAGTGTGACAAGTGCTTCAAGCATCACTCTGTCCTCATTGAACATCAGAGAGTCCACAGCGGGCTGCAGCCCTACAACTGCTCTGAGTGCGGGAGGGCTTTCCGAACAGCCACTCTGCTTGCTGGACACAGGCTGCGGAAATGCAAAAATGCGGCATATCTTTGCATCAAATGCGGGAACAGTTTTCCAACGTCACTGGAGAAATTCAGACATCACTGCCCGAAACGAGGACGTAACTACGACTGCGGGCAGTGTGGAAAGAGTTTTCCAAAGTCCAGCAGCCTGAAGGAACATCTGCTAACTCATGTTCAAAGCCGCCTTTTCAAGTGTAGCCACTGCGGGATTGGTTTTTCAGGAATAGGTGATCTGAAGTACCATCAGCAAGTTGATCATGAGAAGCCTTATCAGTGTAAGCAATGTGGAAAGAGCTTCATCTCCTCAAAGAGTCTGGACAAACACCAACAAAGGCATGAAGAGGTTGGTGAAATGGACACCCTCAAGTTAATGAGTGGAGATAAACACAGGAAAAGTGGCTCGAGTCATCGGACATCAGTGTCTCTTTCCTCCAGGAAGAGGTCCGTCAAAGCAGTCTACCAGCGAGGAAGAGTCACCCATAACTGTCCGCTGTGTGGCAGGAGCTTCAAATATCGCTTTGAGTTTCTTGAACACCAGAGATTCCACACAGCTGTGAAGCCTTACAAATGCTCTCAGTGTGGAAAAGCCTTCCGCACCGAGGCTCACCTGTCAGGGCACAGGAAGAGGAAGTGTAAAAACGCCGCCCACATTTGCACCAAGTGTGGGTGCCAGTTCAGGTCCATGCACGAGCGCGTCAGACACCAGTGTGTCCAGTTGCTGACGAAATATGAATGCTCTCATTGTGGGAAGACCTTCAAGATGGCTCATCTGTTGAGGAACCATCAGATGAGTGAGCATCAGCTCCCCTACAGCCCCAACCATCGCTTCAGGTGTAGATACTGTAACGAGACCTTTCCTGGGATCAGCGAGCTCAAGTACCATCAGAGGGTCGACCACGAGAAACCATATCAGTGTCAGGAATGCGGCAAATGTTTCCTCTCCGAAAAATGCCTGGCCAATCACGAGCTCCGCCACAACGACGACAGACCGGAGAGCTGCCTGGTGTGCGGCCGCGGCTTCAGAAACCGCTATGATTTGAAGCAGCACATGCGCACTCACACGGGAGAGCGGCCCTACCAGTGCACTCACTGCTCGCAGTGCTTCTCCACGGCCGGAGGACTGAGGAGTCACACCAGGGTTCACACGGGCGAGAAACCGCACGTTTGCCCAGACTGCGGGAAGGCTTTCTCCCAGATGGGGGCGATGCGCACGCACAGGCTCACTCACACGGGAGAGAGGCCGTTCAAGTGCACGGTCTGTGGCAAAGGTTTCACAATGGCGCACAAAGTCACAGTTCACATGCGCGTGCACACGGGGGAGCGGCCGTACGTGTGCTCCCAGTGTGGGAAGGCCTTCTCAGACGGAAGCGTGTTGAAGCAGCACATGCTGAACCACTCGGGGGTGCGACCGTATCACTGCCAGATCTGCCCCAAGACTTACACCTGTCTGAACCACCTGAGGAGGCACCTGAAAAGCCACTCAAACATGAGCTGAAGCAGGCATGAAGGAAAACTGACATTATCTAAGAAACTTTCAATGGACCAACTAAACCAAGCAATACGGGAAAGATGCCGATTGGTTGTTGTAGAAAGTGAGGCGAGGAGATTCGGCTCCTGTTCTTCATCCATTAGTTCGAGATTGTTCCAACCAGCACAAACAAATTCTTCCCTCTTTTCCCATCTGGCTTTGGTTGTTTTGTTTTGTTTTTTCTTCTGTACATCAGTTTCTCATGCGTGAATGCAATGAGATGTTAGTTGGAACTTACTTTTTCCAGACCTCCCTAATAGTTAC